TAAAAAAAAAAAAAAAAAAAACCATCACAACCAGTGCCAGCCTCTCCCCTGCAACCTTCAAAGATGAAAACATGCTCAGAATCCTGCACCACTCGTGGGTGAGTATTTGGGAATTTATCCTTTTACATACAAATCTTTTCTGTTCAAATGCACCATTCAGTGGGCGTTTTTAAATCTGCTCTATGTCAGGCTCCGTGGCAGGTACTGTGATAGATGAATAAGTGATTGTCACTGTTTTCAAGGAACTAAATAAATGGAACAGCTGGTAGTATGTACTAAGAAAACAGTGTTGTTTTTCCCACTGAACACTGCAGGCCCAGTGCCTCAGGATTTTAAGCTTGCCTGGAGCCTATGAAAATGCATTTTGGCAAGCTGAAAATATATATTAATTGATCAGTATTGGTCCACCAACTACTACTAGTCTACAACAAAATAGAGAAATTGAGAGTAAATTTCAGAATCTTTTGTAGCAATTTGACTTTGTCTCAACATCCAAGTGTGTTTCCAATTTCAATTTCTTTTAATTGAATTTTATGTCTATTGAATCTAATTTTAAAACGGGGGAGCTTATTTTATATATATATGTATATAAATGGAATTTGAAACTAAAAACAATACCACTTACATGAGCACTCAAAAAAATGAAGTACTTAGGTATAAAATACAGGCAAAATCTATAGTATGTATATAAATGGAATTTGAAACTAAAAACAATGCCACTTACATGAGCACTCAAAAAAATGAAGTACTTAGGTATAAAATACAGGCAAAATCTATATGAAGAAAACTACAAAACTCTAATGAAAGAACTCAGAGAAGAACTAAATAAATGAAAAGATATTTCATGTTTATGGATAGGAAGACTCAATATTATCATGATGTCAGTTTTTCCCAACTTGATCTATAGATTCAATGCAATCTCAATGAAAATCCCAGCAAGTTATTTTGTGGATGTCAATGAACTGATTCTAAAGTTTATGTGAAGAGGCAAAAGATCCAGGATAGTCAACACAATTTTAAAGGAGAAGAATAAAGTTGGAGGACTGATCTTGCCCAACTTTAAGGTTTAGTGTAAAGCTATGGTAATCAAGACAGAGTGCTGCTGGGGAAGAATAGACAAACAGATCAATGGAAGAGAAGAGACAGCCCAGAAATAGACTCACGTAAATACAGAGTACTTCAAAAAGCTCATGGAAAAATGTGTATTTTCTTTCAATTCTATTTTTCCACAAACTTTTCAAAGTACTCTCATATAGTCAACTGATCTTTGACAAAAAAGCAAAGGCAGAACAATGGAGCAAAGATAGTCTTTTCAACAAGTGGTGCTGTAACAACTGGACATCCACATGCAAAAAATTAATCTAGACACAGACCTCACCCCTATCACAAAAATCAACTCAAAATGGTTCTAAATGTAAAATGCAAAACTATAAAACCCCTAGGAGAAAATCAAGATGATCTTGTGTATTGCAATGACATTTTAAGTATATCACCAGAAGCAATTATCTATGAAAGAAGTTATTGATGAGCTGGAATTCATTAAAATTTAAAACTTCTGCTCTGCAAAAGACACTGTCAGGAGAATGAAAAGACAATCCAGAGACTGGTGGAAGATATTTGCAGACAACATATCTGATAAAGGACTGTTATACAAAATACACAGAGAACTCTTAAAACTCGATAATAAGAAAATGAACAACCTGATTATAAGATAAAAGACCTGAACAGACACCTCAAAGAAGATACACAAATGGAAAATAAGCATATGGAAAGATGCTCAACATCATATATCATTAGGGAATTACAAGTTAAAACAATAATGAGATGCCACTACACATTTATAAGAAGGCCAAAATCCAAAACACTCACAACACCGAATGCACACAAGGATGTGAAGAAACAGGAACTCTCATCCATTTCTGATGGGAATGAAAAATGATATAGCCATTTCGGAAGACAGCTTGGCATTTTCCAACAGAACTAAATACACTTTTACCAGACAATCCAGCAGTCGTGCTCCTTGATATTTACCCATGAGTTGAAATTTTATGTCCACGCAGAAACCTGCACACAGATTTTAGAGCAGCTTTGTTCATAATTGCCAAAACTTGGAAGCAATCACGATGTCCTTCAATAGGTGAATGGATAAATAAACTGTGGTACATCCAGACAATGGACTGTTATTCAGCACCAAAAAGAAATGAGCTATCAAGCCATGGAAAGCCATGGAGGAGACATAAATGCATATTACTAGGTGAATTAAATGCATATTACTAAGTGAAAGAAGCCAGTCTGAAAAGGCTACCTCCTGTACGATTCCAATTACATAACATTCTGGAAAAGACAAAACTATGGAGACAGTATAAGATCAGTGGTTGCCGTGGATTAGGGAAGATGAAGGGAGCACAGAGGACATTTAGGGCATTAAATCTGTTGGTGGATATACGTCATTATAAATCCGCAAAACCATAGAATGTATAACACCAAGAGTGAACCCTAATACAAGCTGTGGACTTTGGGAGATGATGATGTGTCAACGTGGGTTCATTGATCATAACGAATGTACCACTCTGGTGCAGGTTGATGATGATGGGGGATACTGGGGGGCAGGGGGCACCCACAGGAAAAAGGGAACTCCCTGTATTTTCTGCTTTCTGTGCTTTCTGCTCAATTCTAAAAAATAAAGTCTATTAGAAATATATGATAGGGCCGAGCCCGTGGCGCACTCAGGAGAGTGCGGCACTGGGAGCGCAGCAGCGCTTGCTCCCGCCGCGGGTTTGGATCCTATATAGGGATGACCGGTGCGCTCACAGCGTTCACTGGCTGAGCGCAGTGCGGCCGTTCTCAAAAAGGACAAAAAAAAAAGAAATATATGATAATATGTAACAATTCTATATATATGTTTCAAGATAGAAAAAGAACCCTGCAAAATCAACATGAATAAATGTTTCATTACATCATGTCAACTTTATTGTTAAGCTTAAGATTCATCCAAATGTTATTGGATTTGAAATTTGTAGATTAGGTTTTTTTCCTTCAGTAAAATTCCTGAGTGTGCTTGGAGCTTGCTGAAAAATTGTAGCCAATTGTAATAAATATAGCCAAATAATTTCAAAAGCTAAATTACAAAAATCTTTCAAAGTAGTTGACATCAAAAAATATAATGAATGTGAACAGTGGGTGCATTCTAATATGTTTGACATTTTGTAGCATGAGGCGGAAACCCCGAAGGAACGGGCTTCCGGGCCACAGGGATCCAAGCCAGCCCTAAAGGAGGGGAGCACAGGATCCTCTGCAGATTGAGGGGAAGCCACTGCAAGTTCCCTTCAACCTCCCTCCTCTGGGCCCTCAGCACCCAGCAGGCAGAGGCAGGCATGCCACAGGCGTGCGGCAGGTGTGGCCGTCCCTCCTGGTGGGGTTGACAAAGCTCCTGGCCTGCTATTAGCCACTGCCTCTGGCCTTTTTACTGCGTCTCCTCTCCACCAAGGGCAGGGAAGGGAGCAAGAGTTCTGACCTGCCAACCTGCTGGAAGCTTCAGAAAGTAACTTTGGAAACAGAAGCTCAACATTAATGATAAAAATGAGGCTTTCACTGATTATTTGTGGATTTCAGTGATCCCAGCTATATAAACCTGAGGACTTCTACAAATATGACTTCGTTCTCCCATTTGCTACTTTCACCAGCCCCATAAAGAGCCATTGGTTTTATTTTCTCGATTGTGCAAATAGAAAAACAGTCTGGTGACCTCCATCCTCCTGTGCAGCAGGCAGTAAACAGGCCCAACATGGGCGGGAGTGAAAGAGCAATGTATCCAGGAAGGACTTGGCCAGGGAATCAGACACCTGGGGGTCAGGGCCAGCTCAGCCATTAGAGACTGTGTGACCTTGAGTGAGTCCCTCTGCTTCTGGTTTCCTGCCTAAAAAAATGGCCCCTCCTGGGATTGTCATGAAACTCAGAGGAGACAGCCCACTTGGGAAATCAGGAAATGTTCTGCAAAAGTAAAGCATAGATTTGAAAGTTGTCCAGAACAGACTCCTGAAGCGGGGGTCCCCAAGACTCAGCTTTTCCTGTCTGACCCCCTTCCTAGTAGGGAACAGAAAACAAGAGCTTTCTTTTCAAACCTCTGAGAAATACTGGGCCTACTTGTCAGGTGCTTTGAGCTGATCAGACTTAATACAGAAAATATGGAAACCCAGACCAGGGCACAGAAAACACAGGTGGGAAGCATGATTTCAGCAGCACTGCCCATCTGCCTCTTGGCTGAATTTCCTGCCGGTCGGGTCAGATTGAGCTCAGGTAAGAGGACAATGTGGAACGATGGACCCAGCAGGGAACTGAGTCTAAAGACAGACGCCCCTGACTTTGGAGAAGCCACCAGGTTTCTGGGCCTCAGCGCCTATCAGGCCTCATGTCCAAGGCCTCCAGCTCCGAGGCTGCACTCTGTCTGGGTCTTTAGGTCTCCAGGTACCACTCTTGGCAGGTGTGTGTGTCACCTGCCTTCCCCCGGACTACAAAGGCCACCCGTGGACTGAACCTGTCGCCCACCCTTACCTGTGTGGCCGTTGTTGATCATGGGGAACTTGCCATCCTGGACCTCGTAGCCCGTCAGGTTCAGCGCCTTCAGGGAGGGGTTGTACTGCACCTTCCTCCTCTGCAGGTTGATGGGCGACTGTCTCTGCCCCCCGCAGGCGGGGTAGGACTGCGGCCAGTGCGCTTCATCCAGCGCCCCCTCTGAGACAGAAGAGAGCGGGTCCAGTTCAAGGGGCTGCCGGGCTGAGCCCCCTCTGCAGAAAGCAGGCCAGGGCCAGGGCCTGCTGAGCAGGAGGCCCCCGGGGGCTGCCTCCCGAAAGTGGAAGCAGGCAAAGGGGCATCTCAATCAACTCCAGGGACCCCGGTGCTTGGAGCACTTCAGAGCCAACTTCTAACTTTCCTGTTGCAACCACTGGCCCTGGGAACACGACTTTATATTTTAAAAGAGCTGGAGTTCGGACAGTGATACCCCAAAGTGAAGACCTCTGAAGCAGCCCCAAAAGCAAAGTTTCCTCCAACCTTCCCCTGCCCTCCTGTCTCTCAGCCTCGTTCTAGCTTGAGGCAAGCCATGGAAAATAGAATCCCTCTTCCCCAAGATGGGTCATAGAAACCAGAACTCCTTTCCCCAAAGCCAGCCATAAAGACTAAAATTACACTATAATCTCCCCCTAACTTTCTGTCTTGGAGCTGGCCAGAGAGGAAGTCTGACCTACTATATCTGATGGTCATAGGACCCCCCCCATTCCAGAAAGGATCCTGCCCCATACCCTGGGGGAAGGAACCCGCACAGAGAGGCTGAGAAGAGTCTGAACACACAGGCCTTGCTGGGTGTCCCCGCTCAGTGCAGTAGCGTTAGATAACGCCTTTCTTGTCCAGTCACGTTTCTACATGGCTGCCCCTGCTCCATAGAACCTCAGCATGAAATGGACAGTTTTCTCTGTATCTCTGGGTCTCATTCTGGAGGCTCCTGGGTCATATAAAACTATAATGAAACAAAATTGCTGTGCCTTTTTTCCCTATGCATCTGCGTTTATCAGTTGACTTTTCAGAGAACCTTCAGGGGGATGGAGGGGAAGACTTCCCTTGGTCCTTACAAAAGCAGTGAAAGTCTTTCATATGAGTATATCCCTTTTTTTCTCCTTGAATTATTTGCAGCTGATAAATGCACCAGCGGGCCCTCGGCTTGGTGATACTGTCCTGTTCTCAGGGGGCTTTGCCTGCTTTCCTCTGAACGGCCCTTTTCCTTTCAAGACCCCAGCCGGAGCACAGTTCTTTCCTCCCCAGCCTTTCTTGCTCCAGCCCCTTTTATGGGCTCCCAAGATGGTAACGACCACCTGGCTGGCCACATCTATGGATTTAGGGCAACTGAAGAAGCATCAGGTTCAAAGAGAACCTAGAATGATGAGTTTTTAAAAAATCAGAGGAGAGACGTTTATCTTTTCAGAGATGGTGAATAGTCGTAGGGGACAGAGTGATGCAGTGAGCTGTTACATGGGTGTCCTGGCCCCCGTGATACCAGCCGTGGGTCTTGCTTGGTGTAGGGAAAGTGAAGGTAAATGGTCAGGGTCCCTCAGATGTTCAGAATCTTGCACAGCATTTGATGTAAATAACTGTGCACGTGCACCCAGGTGTTCCTCGGCTATTGTCTGATGTAGGTGCGCGTGGGCACCCCGGGGTCCCTGGGTTATTGGACTTGAGTATAAAGGACGAATGGCTCTGATCCAGTGTGGCCTCCCACTCCCAGGATGCTCTGGGGAGCCAGGGTGGGGGGCCACTACTGCTGCTGCTGGATCTGCTGAAGGCTGCTGGAAGCTGCTGCTGAGGAAGTCGAGGACTGAGCTCCTGTCATCTGCCAATGGCTCCTGGGGTTTTTTTCCCAATTGCCTAGGTCGTGACCTGCACGTGAGGGGTCTGGTGACCCAGTCTATACAACGGATTTGAAGGGTCTGTGAACTTGTAGCCCTAGCTTTAGCCCTGACCCGAGAGAGGCACAAAACCTTCACTGTTTGACTTCTGCCTCTTCCTTAACTCTGACCCACCCCAGTAGTGAGGGGTCAGGTGAAGCAGAAAGCCCGGGGCCCTCCAGGCACTAAAGGGTGCATGGAATTCCTCTGCTCGAGAACAGAGAGGTGGATCAGAGTTGGCCCTCTGAAGCTGAACTTTCTGGGCCTCCCCAAAACGTTCCTAATTCTGTTGCCCTTGACTTAGGACACACCACCCACGCTGAATGCACGCTTCCCCGTGTGTCTGAGGGGGCACAGGCCGTGCAGAGAGCAGGCTCAATACCGCGTGCAGTTCTGCCTCCCCCATCAGCCGGTGGCCACAAGTCTCCTCTTGAGTTCCCTTCCATGGGTCAGTATGGAAGAGAGGGGGACACAGGCAGGAGTTCTCACTGCCACAAGAAAGGGGTGTTTAGTGTCCACGAGCCCCGCAGACACAAGCCCTTCCTGCCTTTGGCTCACATGTGGGCCGGAACTCCTGCTAATTGTTCAAATTTCACATTTAAAAGTCTGGTTTGGGCAGCCTGGAGGTTAGCTAAAGGGAACCGGTTCTTAAGTCGAGCTGTTCTGGGTAAATGGCATATCGTGACATTTCCACGCAGGAAGCGCTCGCCGACCCCACGGCATCTCTGGGAGGCTACAGGCGTCCTTCCTAAGAACTGTATTTTCCACTAACACCCATAAAGCAAATGGTTTTACAATCAGACGCAGCGAGTGTGCTCTCGAACCAGCCAACGCTGCAGACGGAAGAAAGCAAACAGCCTGCGAGTGAATCGGGGGTTTATGAAGGGGGAGTTATTTCCTCTTTTCCTTAACTGAAGTTTAACTTCTGTTTGTTCTTCACATGTCCTGAAACGTTGAAAAGGTGGCATCTGAACCCACAACGAGCAGACCCCAGCAGAGGAACCACTCACAATTGTGCACGGGCTGTCTGGCCACCCTGTGCAAGGCCAGCTCTCGCTGGTCCCTTCCTTGCTGCGATTGAAAAGGTGGCATCTGAACCCACAACGAGCAGACCCCAGCAGAGGAACCACGCACAATCGTGCACGGGCTGTCTGGCCACCCTGTGCAAGGCCAGCTCTCGCTGGTCCCTTCCTTGCTGCGAGGGTAACTGGGGAAGTGTGCAGGGGGTGGGCTTACCTGAGTAGGTCCACTCGGACCCATGCTGGGCATGGGCACCCAGGAGGAACAGGGACAGCAGAGTCACCAGGGTCCTCATGGTGCTGCAGGTCTGGAATCAGGACCGATTCTGGGGAAGCTCTTCTTTTAAAACCTCAGACACTGTAGAGAACATTTAGCAAGTCCAGCTGGCTGGCCCACCCCTGCTGCACCCACTGAAACAATAACATCCTCCCCACAATGGCCCTTCTGACTTGGTTGCTTGGGCCAAGTGGCCTGGGCACCTGCCCTGTCTCCTCCCGAGCCATTACCATATCCAGTTAGTCCTTGGGTTTGGTTGTTCAATGTCTTCACTTGGGAAAACTCACGTGAAGGGCCACACAGTGCAGCCGTTGTGGATGTGACTCCAGGAGGAGAAAAAGGCCCGAGGCAAGGACAGGCAGGTGAGGAGCTGCCCCAAACAATGGCGCTCTCTGTGCCCTTTCTCCGGGTGACGCTCTGGGAACTGCTGAAGAGAATCACCGGTGCTGAAACCCTGCCAGATTCCGCTTGGTATTTCCTGCCTGTCTCAGTAATGGACACAAGCCATCGCTGCAGACTTGTGGCTGCCTCAGCCAGGCACCTGGGGCAATGGCCTGGCCCCCACGTTCAGGCCTGAAAAGGAGGGCCCTAACTAAAGGCACCGATGGGCTTATCCTGTCCTTGAATCAGTGCTTGACCCTGGAGCCCCAGCTCACGAGCCACCTCCCACCATGTGCCCAGAGCTAGCGTGGGCATCTGCGCTTCTCCGTGAACTTGTCTTGACAGCTGCAGTGCACTTGGAGACACCCAAGACAACCCGCAGAAGCAGATCAATGGATTGCCTAATCCTGTACAGTCATTTCGCTAAACAGTCCTTGAAATTAGCTGAAGGAGAAACATCCAAGCTTACACCTGCTGACAGGCCAGCATTTCCTATCCCTTCAGCAGGGACAAGGCAGAGGGCCAGCAGAGTTCCTGCAGGGAACCCACCCCGCTGCCACATACAGAGGCCCCTCCCTGGCCTCCTGTTATCTCCTGGCCCACTTGTGCCTGGAGTGCAGGGATGCTGGAATGGCAAAATGGCAGCGTGCACTCACAATAAGGATATCAGAGGTGGATGTAGGATCTCCCAAACGTTGGAAGGGGCTCCTGTTGTCGTTTAATTAGGGAACATCGGTTGCTACGAAGATCCCACTGAAAACTCAGATCCATGAAGCTCAAGAGCAGAAAGAATCTCTAAGGAAGCAAGGCATGGTTAAGAGCAAGGATTCCGAAGGCACGTGGACAGGGTTCGGGTTCCAGCTCAGCCACTTGCTCTGTGACCTTGGGCAAGTTACTCAACTCTCTGCCTCAGTTTTCCCATCTCTAAGAGGAGCTAACAAATCCCTCATAGGGATTCAACAATAAATTTGTTTATAGTGGTTGGAGTAGGGCCTAGTGTGTAGCAAATCACATTATTATCCATTTGGACCCCTCATTTAATGGAGAAAGGAAGTGACTTGCCATTGTCACCCTGCTAGTTAGTGAGGGAGAAATGACTTGATCTCCAGCTTGTGGAACTCTTTTCTTTTTCTTTTTTTTTTTAATTGTTATTGAATCAAAATTGATTATACATATTTTGGGATTCAACATTGAGATATGTTGGTCAAATCAATATTACTAGCATATATATTGTTACAAATCGTAATTTTCTTTATGCTTCTTGTCCAATCCCGCCCTATCCCCCTCTCCCTCTCCCTTTTCCCCTCTTATTACCCTAGATTTCTTCTCTCCTTCTGAAAGAACAATGGTTACTCTGTTCATTTGTTGCCTAGATGATCTGTCCAATGCTGAGAGGTGTGATCAGGTCCCCCAATATTATCACAGAGCAGATGCTTCTTCTGTCACTCTGGAATGGGCTTGGTGGAAAGAGACATCCTCTTCTTTTCTTTGTCTCTGCTGGTGACCCTCCTTGTGTCGATGCACTCCAGTGGCTGGTGGACCATCTGTGTGGTGGTTGTGGCATCTAGCGCTTTCATGGCAGCTGTGGTTATTGTGGTGGCTGTGGTGGGCCACCCACATGGAGGTGATGTTTTTGGCATGCTCCTTGGTGCTGGTGGTGTACCTGGTTGTGGGGAGTGTCTGGTCACAGGCTCCATGCCACAGGTCCCCGGGTGGGCCCTGAGGCACTGGCATGGTGTGCCTGGTTGTAGGAGGGGGGATCCACTCCCCTTCTCCATGCCTTGGGTCCCAGGGCAGGCCCCAAGGCGCTGGTGCAGTGCTCATGGAACTCTTTTCCATGTTTGCAGAAATTAGAAACCCAGTCTCCAATCTTTGCTAAGTTAGACACACCCTGCCTGCTAAGCCTCCCACCACCCTGTGGATCATATGAGACCTTACCTCCCCTGCTGCCAAGGAAAGAGGACAGCACGGACCCTCAGACAAGCTGGGGGCCCTTGACATCAAACTGACA